TTTATTAGATCATCTTTATTTCAGACAAGAAACATTTTTTTCGAAAATACTGCAATTTTGATTATAATTGAAAATAGATTAAAAAATGTGTCAACTTTAAACAATCGTGCAAAGCTTAAATATTCCGATGGAAAGATGATTTTTGTATCAAATTAAAGCTTAAAGCATACTCTTTGAAATGGTATACGACACTTTATTAGATCATCTTTATTTCAGACAAGAAACATTTTTTTCGAAAATACTGCAATTTTGATTATAATTGAAAATAGATTAAAAAATGTGTCAACTTTAAACAATCGTGCAAAGCTTAAATATTCCGATGGAAAGATGATTTTTGTATCAAATTAAAGCTTAAAGCATACTCTTTGAAATGGTATACGACACTTTATTAGATCATCTTTATTTCAGACAAGAAACATTTTTTTCGAAAATACTGCAATTTTGATTATAATTGAAAATAGATTAAAAAATGTGTCAACTTTAAACAATCGTGCAAAGCTTAAATATTCCGATGGAAAGATGATTTTTGTATCAAATTAAAGCTTAAAGCATACTCTTTGAAATGGTATACGACACTTTATTAGATCATCTTTATTTCAGACAAGAAACATTTTTTTCGAAAATACTGCAATTTTGATTATAATTGAAAATAGATTAAAAAATGTGTCAACTTTAAACAATCGTGCAAAGCTTAAATATTCCGATGGAAAGATGATTTTTGTATCAAATTAAAGCTTAAAGCATACTCTTTGAAATGGTATACGACACTTTATTAGATCATCTTTATTTCAGACAAGAAACATTTTTTTCGAAAATACTGCAATTTTGATTATAATTGAAAATAGATTAAAAAATGTGTCAACTTTAAACAATCGTGCAAAGCTTAAATATTCCGATGGAAAGATGATTTTTGTATCAAATTAAAGCTTAAAGCATACTCTTTGAAATGGTATACGACACTTTATTAGATCATCTTTATTTCAGACAAGAAACATTTTTTTCGAAAATACTGCAATTTTGATTATAATTGAAAATAGATTAAAAAATGTGTCAACTTTAAACAATCGTGCAAAGCTTAAATATTCCGATGGAAAGATGATTTTTGTATCAAATTAAAGCTTAAAGCATACTCTTTGAAATGGTATACGACACTTTATTAGATCATCTTTATTTCAGACAAGAAACATTTTTTTCGAAAATACTGCAATTTTGATTATAATTGAAAATAGATTAAAAAATGTGTCAACTTTAAACAATCGTGCAAAGCTTAAATATTCCGATGGAAAGATGATTTTTGTATCAAATTAAAGCTTAAAGCATACTCTTTGAAATGGTATACGACACTTTATTAGATCATCTTTATTTCAGACAAGAAACATTTTTTTCGAAAATACTGCAATTTTGATTATAATTGAAAATAGATTAAAAAATGTGTCAACTTTAAACAATCGTGCAAAGCTTAAATATTCCGATGGAAAGATGATTTTTGTATCAAATTAAAGCTTAAAGCATACTCTTTGAAATGGTATACGACACTTTATTAGATCATCTTTATTTCAGACAAGAAACATTTTTTTCGAAAATACTGCAATTTTGATTATAATTGAAAATAGATTAAAAAATGTGTCAACTTTAAACAATCGTGCAAAGCTTAAATATTCCGATGGAAAGATGATTTTTGTATCAAATTAAAGCTTAAAGCATACTCTTTGAAATGGTATACGACACTTTATTAGATCATCTTTATTTCAGACAAGAAACATTTTTTTCGAAAATACTGCAATTTTGATTATAATTGAAAATAGATTAAAAAATGTGTCAACTTTAAACAATCGTGCAAAGCTTAAATATTCCGATGGAAAGATGATTTTTGTATCAAATTAAAGCTTAAAGCATACTCTTTGAAATGGTATACGACACTTTATTAGATCATCTTTATTTCAGACAAGAAACATTTTTTTCGAAAATACTGCAATTTTGATTATAATTGAAAATAGATTAAAAAATGTGTCAACTTTAAACAATCGTGCAAAGCTTAAATATTCCGATGGAAAGATGATTTTTGTATCAAATTAAAGCTTAAAGCATACTCTTTGAAATGGTATACGACACTTTATTAGATCATCTTTATTTCAGACAAGAAACATTTTTTTCGAAAATACTGCAATTTTGATTATAATTGAAAATAGATTAAAAAATGTGTCAACTTTAAACAATCGTGCAAAGCTTAAATATTCCGATGGAAAGATGATTTTTGTATCAAATTAAAGCTTAAAGCATACTCTTTGAAATGGTATACGACACTTTATTAGATCATCTTTATTTCAGACAAGAAACATTTTTTTCGAAAATACTGCAATTTTGATTACAATTGAAAATCAACAAAGAAATATGACAACTTTAAAAAACCTTGCAAAGCTTAAATATTCAGATAGAAAGATAATTTTTATACCAAATTAAAGCTTAAAGTGTACTCTTTAAAATAATATATGATACTTTATTACATCATCTTTATTTCAGACAAGAAACATTTTTTTCGAAAATACTGCAATTTTGATTATAATTGAAAATAGATTAAAAAATGTGTCAACTTTAAACAATCGTGCAAAGCTTAAATATTCCGATGGAAAGATGATTTTTGTATAAAATTAAAGCTTAAAGCATACTCTTTAAAAAGGTATATGATATTTTATTACATCATCTTAATTTCAGACAAGAATCATTTTTTTTTAAATACTGCAATTTTGATTATAATTGAAAATGAACAAAAAAATGTAACAACTTTAAAAAGTCGTGCAAAGCTTAAATAGTCAGATAGAAAGATGATTTTTGTATCAAATTAAAGCTAAAAGTATACTTTTTAAAATGGTATATGATACTTTATTAGATCATCTTAATTTTAGATAGGAAACATTTTTTTGGAAAATACTGCAATTTTGATTATACTTAAAAATGGACTAAAAAATGTGTCAACTTTAAAAAGTCATGCAAAGCTTAAATATTCAGATGGAAAGATGATTTTTATATCAAATTAAAGCTTAAAGCATACTCTTTAAAATGATATATGATACATTATTAGATCACCTTAATTTCAGACAGGAAATATATTTTTCGAAAATGTTACATTTTTGAATATTATTGAAAATGGATTAAAAAATGTGTCAAATTTAAAAAATCGTGCAGAGCTTAAATATGCAGATAAAAAGATGATTTTTACATCAAATTAAAGCTTAAAGAATACTTTTTAAAATGATGTATGATACATTATTAGATCACCTTAATTTAATATAAGAAATATATTTTTCGAAAATGTTACAATTTTTAATATTTTTGGAAATCAACAAAGATATGTCAACTTTAAAAAATCGTGTAAAGCTTAAATATTCAGATAGAAAGATGATTTTTATACCAAATTAAAGCTTAAAGTATTCTTTTTGATATGATATACACTTTATCCTGGCATGTTCAATTTGCTTGCTAATTATTGCTGAAAATATCTTAAACTGGTAAAATTAAAGAAAATTGCTTGTAAAAATAAATAAACGTTTGTAATTGTACCCTTTTCTCATGTTCTCGTTTAATTGAAACCGGGCAAAAAACCTTTTGCCCTCCCCATAATTGACTTACTAACGATGTCCGACATAAATTTTGCTTGTGCTGTTTTTTTGCCGGTTGAAATTAATTTATTACCCTCCCTGAAAAACGCGCCCCTGGGTAAAGGTATAATTAAATTTTCTCAGTTAATCCGAGCATCCCGGTAAGCTTGACCTGCGGTATCCCCTGTTAAAATTTAATTAAAATACATGTTCGGAGTCAACAGTTTTTCTTAGTACCGCTGAGAAAAATTATGAAAGAAAAGAGTTATTTTTTTAAACAGAAATGTTTCACAGTCGATAAGACAGAAGAAGGTGTATTATGAAAGTTTTACGATCTCTACGTGACGCTATGTCTATTCCTTTAGGGTATACACCACATGTCCATTTGTGGAAAACTACCGAAAGTCTTTTAGCAAAACCAAGTTGTACGTGATAACGTGACCGTTCTCCTTAATATAATATTGATTTTACTTTTGGGGTTACATCGAATCCCTCTTGAGGACAAAACAGACAGGAATCTGGTTGACCTTACCCTCAAGAGGTCAACTGTACAGAAGTTTTGATATGAAAACTTTTAGTTTAATACTCCAACATTTACATAACTATATAAAGTTTGAATTTAAAATTTTTCCTTGGTAGAATTTTTGCGTCATGTTCGTCAACGATTTCGCGAAATCAATTAGAAACGAGGATTCTAGGAATTAAACCTTTCGCAATGCAGCGCTTTTGAAAAATCTCGCTTTAGAACGTGATTCAATCGGGCGGATGAATCCTTGTGGATGCGGTGGGAAAAATTCGTAAAAGATTGTCAGTAAACTCATTTTTACCACGGTTATTTAGAACTTTATTAAGCCTGCGGGAGCTTCATATTCCCTTTATCCCAAGGTGTCCAATTAAGAACGGTCGTATATCCTACCCAGTTAGACCCAAAAACCACAACGATGACAGTTATTTATTCAAGTTTATTGAATTCATTTAAACAAGTAATAATAATACTATATAATGTTAATTAAAATGTTTCAATTGGATCCCCATTTGCATCCATGTACGTTGGGACGTCGTTAACGTTTCTTTTTCGACGAGATAACGGTGCAGATGAACTTTCACAAGTTTGTTGAACTTCCGATTGGGTTTTATCGTTCTTAATCTCGATGGGATTCTTAACCGCTTTATCCGGACAATCAGCCATTACTAAAAATATGTAAGATTAAGAATCTTTTAGTATTAAATTTTATTAATTAACTTACTTTTTTGTGTGTTGTACCTATTCGCGTTGAAAGCTTCTTTTAAACTAAGTAAAAATATTTCAAGCTCTTGGTTTAAAACAGGAAAGACCACAATTCCAAGAAGGTTTATAACGGTTCTTTTTTAAAAGGAATTTTATCTCTCTTTCGAGGAACCGTTCTAAATTCTGGGTTATTAAGCGCTGTTTACTTCTTTACTTCTAAAACTACAAATTCTTTTTTAATAATTACAATAACATTAATATTAGCGAGCTAATTATTATGGTAATCTGCTCCGAAAAGGGATATATTCGCTACGTCACTTCAATGAGCTTTCATAAAGGATATTGCGTTTTCAATCAGATAGCTTTCAACCCCGCTGTTGCTGGTTGTGAATGGTTCACGTTTCGCTGAGTTTCGAGAATGCATTTTCCCCGTGTAATTCCACGTCCAAAACAAATTTTACAATGAATATTAATTCAACACGGCAAAATTAGTCATAAGCAAATTAATCGATATTCAGATTCTTTATTCACTCTTTTCTTTTGTACCCGACAATCGTGAACTGTTGGGAATAAGGAAAAAGGGGGACACTTATGTAGAGAATTGGTTCTATTGACAACTTGAAGGATACAAGCAGAATGTTCAATACTTTAGAGTAGTGGTGGAATGGATATCCGGAAACTATCCGGCCATTTATTATTATTATTACTTAGTACTCCACCATTCATAGGAATTAGTACCTCTTTTAGGTGTTGGACACTACAGATAATAATCAAGTTCAACCCCAATATAACTTTTTTCATTGAATACAACTTCATTTATATCAGGTTTGTCTTTGCAACCTCATTATAACAATCCCAATACGATATACAGGTGAGTCGGGAGGAACGGACCAAACTTTAGGAGTAAAATATCGCCATTAACTTCTAAATATTTCCGGCTTCGTTTACTAAGAGCTCTTGTTGCTTTCCTAATTGCTGCATGATTTTCCTTAATATTAACTGTAACATTTAGAATGCGCCTAAGAAGTGCATCCCTAGTGTCAACTTTGACTTTGTATACTTACCTCACTTTTGAACCATCCCCATAAACAATAATCAAGTGCTGTGAGATCTGGAGATCTTGGAGGCCAACTAATAGGACCACCACGACCAATCCAACGCCCTGGAAACCTTTCGTCCAAATGTTGCTTGACCTGACGAGCGAAATGCGCCGGAGCTCCATCGTGTTGANACAAAAAATATGTTTTAAAAAAATGTTACAATTTTGAATATAATTGAAAAGGGACTAAAAATGTGTCAACTTTAAAAAATCGTGCAAAACTTAAATATTCAGATGGAAAGATGATTTTTGTATCAAATTAAAGCTTAAAGCATACTCTTTAAAATGGTATACGACACTTTATTAGATCATCTTTATTTCAGACAAGAAACATTTTTTTCGAAAATACTGCAATTTTGATTACAATTGAAAATCAACAAAGAAATATGACAACTTTAAAAAACCTTGCAAAGCTTAAATATTCAGATAGAAAGATAATTTTTATACCAAATTAAAGCTTAAAGTGTACTCTTTAAAATAATATATGATACTTTATTACATCATCTTTATTTCAGACAAGAAACATTTTTTTCGAAAATACTGCAATTTTGATTATAATTGAAAATAGATTAAAAAATGTGTCAACTTTAAACAATCGTGCAAAGCTTAAATATTCCGATGGAAAGATGATTTTTGTATCAAATTAAAGCTTAAAGCATACTCTTTGAAATGGTATACGACACTTTATTAGATCATCTTTATTTCAGACAAGAAACATTTTTTTCGAAAATACTGCAATTTTGATTATAATTGAAAATAGATTAAAAAATGTGGCAACTTTAAACAATCGTGCAAAGCTTAAATATTCCGATGGAAAGATGATTTTTGTATAAAATTAAAGCTTAAAGCATACTCTTTAAAAAGGTATATGATATTTTATTACATCATCTTAATTTCAGACAAGAATCATTTTTTTTTAAATACTGCAATTTTGATTATAATTGAAAATGAACAAAAAAATGTAACAACTTTAAAAAGTCGTGCAAAGCTTAAATAGTCAGATAGAAAGATGATTTTTGTATCAAATTAAAGCTAAAAGTATACTTTTTAAAATGGTATATGATACTTTATTATATCATCTTAATTTTAGATAGGAAACATTTTTTTGGAAAATACTGCAATTTTGATTATACTTAAAAATGGACTAAAAAATGTGTCAACTTTAAAAAGTCATGCAAAGCTTAAATATTCAGATGGAAAGATGATTTTTATATCAAATTAAAGCTTAAAGCATACTCTTTAAAATGATATATGATACATTATTAGATCACCTTAATTTCAGACAGGAAATTTTTTTTCGAAAATGTTACAATTTTGAATATAATTGAAAAGGGACTAAAAATGTGTCAACTTTAAAAAATCGTGCAAAACTTAAATATTCAGATGGAAAGATGATTTTTACATCAAATTAAAGTTTAAAGCATACTCTTTAAAAAGGTATATGATACTTTATTAGATCATCTTTATTTCAGACAAGAAACATTTTTTTCAAAAGTATTGCAATTTTGATTATAATTGAAAATGGACTAAAAAATGTGTCAACTTGAAAAAGTCGTATAAAGTTTAAATATTAAGATGGAAAAATGATTTTTATATCAAATTAGAGCTTAAAGCATACTCTTTAAAATGATATATGATACATTATTAGATCACCTTAATTTCAGACAAGAAAAATTTTTTTCGAAAATGTTACAATTTTGAATATAATTGAAAAGGGACTAAAAAATGTGTCAACTTAAAAAAGTCGTGCAAAGCTTAAATATTTAGATAGAAAGATGATTTTTACATCAAATTAAAGCTTAAAGCAGACTCTTTAAAAAGGTATATGACACTTTATCACATCATCTTAATTTCAGATAGGAAACATTNTTATTTTCTTAATTTTTCTTTGTGATTCAGTCATCTTGGCCATAAATCACACCACCCCGCTTGCCTGTTCGAAACTTTTACAAGATTACAGAGCAGGTAAAACCGAATTGAATGTCTCGTGAACGTAGGTCGTTTCTAGTACAATTTTATGCCTCTACGAGCGGCTCTTTTCGCATTATATCTGAACAGAACTGTACAGTAGACCTCTGTGCCATACGGAGTAGAATGCCTTCCGAACATCCAGGAACACTGCCTCGGATTGTTGTTTTTGGTAATGTGCGACTTGGAAGTTTGAGGCCAAATTAGTATGACGGAATCCTCCTTGCAACAACATCGAGCAGCTTATTCTTCAAGTGTACCTCAAAAAGCTTCCCCATTACAGGTAGCAATGAGATAGGACGGTAGTTCGCAGGGTCGGATAGAGAAGAATCTTTCTTGGGGATGCATATGATAATAGAGGTCTTTCAATCTTGTGGGAAATGCTGGGTGGTAAGGCAATAGTTGTAAATTATTCTTATGTAGGCGTGTATATCAAGATCCAGCTTCCTTAAGATTCCCCTTGAGTTGCTGTCATATCCAGGGGCTGTGTCGGTTCCTCTGTTAAGTAGTGTGAAGTATTCTTCTTCCTGCATGAGGGCATCTTGAAGCGTTTCGGACGAATTAAAAAAGGCGCGTTGGTACCAATTGTCTACAGTGTTTTTGTTGTGAGGGCAGAACAGGGCCTCATTGCTGAAGGAAAACACCCTCTCAAGGTATTCAGCGTGGATATATACGATTTTTTCCGGGCTAGATTTGAGTAGCCATCCGTAGGGCCTTTTGGTACTTCGAAAGTTTGCGGACTTCTTGCCAGTAGTTTTTACCCTTGCTTCTGTTGATTTTATCACAGGCCTCACAGGCTTCTGAATTGCTGCACTAACTTTTGGATATTTTTATTAAGCTCATTGAACATTCTTTTCAGAGCAGGCTCCTCATAGGATCTAAAATCGCGGTAAAGTCGTCTCTTTTCTTTAATTAAACGGAGAATAAATGGTGGTAGAGGAAAACTCGTTGTAGAGTTTTGGACCCCATTAATCCACATACATTTGCGTTGATGCAATTCTGTGGTACGGTATCTGGTATTGGTGTCGTGATCCTGTCAAATAGCTATGGGTATCACCATTGGAGGGAAAATTGTCTCTGTTATCATAAACATGCAGCAATGCCGTAAGTACACTGTTGGAAATAATTCACGAGCACATCCTGAGAGCGGCACAACTCTACTGGGAGGAGAAACATCAATAGCGAGAGTATCCTCCGTGAGCTTCGCGTACCATCGCTACACGACGTGGTATGGAGTCTATAAGTCGCTCTATTGTAGCAAGAGGGATGGCCAACCATGCCACCTCAACTCGCCTTCAAAGCTCCTCAACGTTAGCCGAGGGGGCCGGATAACGTAGAAATCTCCGACCAGTCATGTCCCAAACATGTTCGATTGGATTCAGATCCGGAAAACGAGCTGGCCTAGGAAGCATTCGTATACGGCGCTCTTCCACAAAGGTCTGTACAATACGCCCTATGTGCGTTCGGACGTTGTCGTGCATGTATAGTAGACTTGGGTGCCGCCGAACGTAGGGAAGCACTACGGACAGTAGCACCTCATCTACGTATGGTTGACCCGTCATGATCTGCTATACACGCAGCAGACGTGTACGTCCACCATATGTAATCGCACCCCATACCATAATGCTCGGTTGTCGGTGGATAGGGCGTTCTTGCAGACACTGCTCGAGTAGACGATCATCACGGCTCCGACGAACTAAAATTCGCGCANATAACTTCATTAATATTGAAGATAAATATGTCGTGTTTGTACTCATTTTAAAGAATTTTTAATGAAGATTACAAATATGTCAAAATTGACATTTTACACCTGAAGTTAGTTATCATATAATAGACAAATGGGCAACTTCATGGTGTTCTTTTATGATATATTCTTTATTAAAAAGTACCTTTAAAATGAGTCCAAACATGATGTTGCTAGATATCACTATGTAATTTAATTTTTCAATATTAATACCAACCTTAATTTTTTATTTTTTTTTATTATATTTTTGTTTTTGAGGCAAATATTAAGACATTTTATAAAAATTAAGAATATGTTAAAATGACATTGACATTTTAAACCGGAAGTTGCTTATATCTCGAGTAATATTGGAATTAAACGTATCATGTTTGGACTCATTTCAAAGGATTTTTTACGACGATTACAAATATGTCAAAATTGACGTTGACATTCTTAACCGGAAGTTGACCGTAACTTCATTAATATTGAAGATAAATATGTCGTGTTTGTACTCATTTTAAAGGATTTCTAATGAAGATTACAACTATGTCAAAATTGAGGTTGACATTTTAAACCTGAAGTTTTATCATATAATAGATGTTTTATAACTGAAGTTAATCTATATAGTGTTAGTCACTTTTTCTTTTTATATTTAACGTGTTTTTTGGATCATTTCACATTTATTAAAAAAATTATCTCTATAAATAGATAATATGAGAAATGTTAATCTATTTGTAGAGTCTCTCGCTTAGTGATGTATATTCATAATTTAAAAAGTATTCTTGATACAAAATATGCATTGCAGAAATACTCTATCACCTAATAAACCCTATCGTTAAATACATAACCCAACTAGAAGGAGATAAACCAAGGTTAAGCCAAATAGCTGTATGTTTTTATGAGTTCTAAAGTCATTTTGAAACAGCCCTTTCTTCAAGTCCTTTGCTTAACCAAGAGGTAAGAAAACTAAAAGAGGTAAAAAACTTTTTAGTTGAGGGAAAGCAAATGGGAATAAATCCTATCGATCTTGCTGCAAATATTTTAGATTCAAACTTTAATGGAATTCATCTTAATAGAGAAGAACAAATACAAGGAACAGAGTTTATAGATAATATGGCTACCGTAACAAGCCCAGATGAGCCTGCAGAGGTAATGGCAGAATTGGCAGATCTAAAAAAAGGGTTATTTGGAAAACCATAATATGTTTTAAAATCCATGGAAAAGCTACATCCTGATGTATGGTGGAAGGGGACTTGTTTTGGGTCGACATTAAGTAAATTGGCGGTCAAAATACTAAGTATGCCTGCGTCGAGTGTAGCAACAGAAAGAAACTTCATCATTTACAGCTTTTTCACACTGCGAAGAAAAATGGGGTTACGGCTGAACGAGGTGGAAAAAAAATATTCATTGCTCATAATTTCAAATGATTAGATTCTGCCACCAATGTAGAGGTTAATGAAGACAATGAAGAAATTTTTAATATTGTAAATAATAATAAATAAATCGATTAGATTTGATTTAACTAAGCTGTATTTGCATTTAAAAGCATTTTCTCAGAAAATTCTCAAAATCGAGAATACACACTTATCTTTTTTTTCTTCGAGAATTTTCCACCTCTAATCTAATAATATTCATCTCTAATACCGAGCATATGATGCAGTAGTTACTTACTTACTAAAATAAATCCAACCCACCCTTTCCTTTATCATATAATTACTTGCAGAAGACTTAAAGAAAATGTGTTAAGTCTGCAGGTAGAAGGAATTATTATAACGCAGGTTGATGGAGACAATGAAGTTAGCAAATAACAGAGAGAAGTAGAAAAATTTTGTTTCAAATAGGCACTGTTAAATAGAGGACTAGGAGGGAGAACCTCAACATCTACAGGTATAAATAGGATTGATTATAATGATGATGCCGATGATTAAAAGAAACTTGGTTAACACTTATAAAAGTAATTAAGAAATTTACATCATATCTTACATTCTCTCGGCTAATATTAAAAAGAGATAATGCATAATTTGATTTGTTAAAATTGAGGTTGTTTGCGACCGAGGAGCTGCAATTGATCTTATTAAAACACACGTATTGTAATGTCTCGGCCGTCAGTGACCTTGGATTAATAAAGTACGTAAATAAACAAAATTACCAGTTAATTGATTTGAACTATACCCTGTTCCTTGAATCCCATTATAAATCGGTATTATATCCAATAAAATTAGTTTGCAAAGAGCTCTTCCTTCCCAATAATTATACGATTGATTTAAATATTTATTGGTAGTTTCTTGAAAAACGGCCCTATTTAATTGTTGGTAATAAACGGTTTTGTAATCTAAATCGCAATTTTCATATCCCAACGGAGGAGTGTAAGAAACTTTCATTTCCGTATCGGTTACTTCTATTAAAATATTTTGAACCGATCCAATTGGTCCTAAAAAAGAAATTGTTTATAACATATTTAATAAATCTAATAATCGAAATACCTACCAGTACAAAGAGCTTCATCATTTTGCACCCAATTTTTTTTCAACCAAGATTTATTTTCTTTTTGATCCGGCGGTGTAAGATCTAAAATAAATGGTAATTAATTAAATTAAGAATTTTTTGTGTAGTTTCGTAACAAACCGCCGCTAATTTTTTCGAAAAGAAAAATTAAATTAACCAGGATTATAAACGATCTCATTGTAATGTACTAAGTAAATCTTAAATAATTTTGGAATTTTTATAACAAATTTTTAGAGATGATAGATTATTTATAAGAGGTTTTAAGATAAGATACTTAAAAATAAAATCAATGAGTCAATAAAATTGTTGGAATTATCAATATAAACACATCATTTCAAGTACTAAATAAACTTTATTATCAATTTATTAACAGGCAAGTTTAATTTGTGAAGAAGCAGATCCTCCACTAACACCTCTGAATAACGATTCAACTCGTACGATAACAGTCTTGCAGTTAGCATTATTTGCTACATAATCATATTTATACTCATAACCTTGAACTATATCACTATTTAAAACATTCCCGGTATTAGCATCGGTTATTTCTACATTAAAAATAACACTGCAAGTTTCGTAATCAATAGGAGTCCACCATCTAATTTGTAAAACGTTTGTTGATTGTAAACGAAGGTTTCTAACAGGTCCTATATCAATAAGATCATCAAATTTATCTGCAAAAAAAATTATATTAAATTTATTAAACTAAAACTACCGCAATTAGAAATCCTGAAGACGCACGGCTANTGTAGTCGGAAGATCCTCAGGAAATCAGATGCCCTACCCCAGAAAAGAACACCATACGACGCCACCGAGTGAAAAGATGCAAAGTATGACAACCTGGCTGCCTAGTGAGTGGTTACTTATTTTAGTCCTCGTATTGTAAAGATAGCAGAAGTCAGCCTAGTCCTCAGATGTTTCAAATGCAGTTCCCACGTCATTCCACTGTCTAGATGCATACCCAGAAATTTTACAGTTGCAGATTCTCTCCCACGTCGAGTGGTCTCCAACACTATATGTTGTTTTTGAGTGGACAATATAGCTTTTTGTGATTTAGCCATCTAGTTATCCTTTGTAGTGTCCTTTAATACGATGGATGTATCAATATGTCTCTTCAATAATGTTGCAAGGCAGATCATTAACATATATAATAAACAGGAGAGGTCCAAGAACAGACCCCTGAGGAACACTATGTTTGATTTTTACACTAGACGATCTATTACCATTATACTCAACATATTGTTGTCTGTCCATCAAATAAGATCTTATCAAATTTAGTTGTAGACCACTAACACCATAAAACTGAAGTTTACTCACTGACGTGTGCTATCGTTATAAAGGCAATTACTTCAGAAACAGCCGTCATTACCGATCTGCCTGATTGCTGACTGGTCGCAAAATATTTATTGGTTTTAAAGTATTCCATCAATCTTCTTGCTATTAATCTTTCAAATATCTTGGAGATAACGGGCTAAATTGATATAGGTCTATAATTACTATAGTCCTTTTTATCACCCTTCTTATGTAATGGCAGGACTCTCGCTGTCTTGAAGTCTGAAGGAAAAATTCCATCGCTGACACATTTATTGAACATAATATTAAGATTGACCACAACTGTTCTATTACTGACTTTATTATATTGTTTGTTAAGCCATATGTGTCAGCTGTTCTTAATTTGACCAACTCTTGTTGTTGTTATTGATCTGAATAAAAAAGAATTTACATTTGTCACATTTAAGTTTTTGAGGTAGCGATCAAGAGAGTTAGTTGATGAGATACCATTCACGATCCTCTCAACCACCTCTATAAAGTGTTTGTTAATGTCCTCAACGTCGAGAGGTACAGGACCACTATTTGAGCCACTCTTGGTATACTGATTTATTACCTTCCATATTGCACGTTGTTTGTTGCCAGCATTGTTTATAAAGGTTTCATTTTGTTGTCTACTCTTATATTTTATGTACAGCTGATAACATTCCTGGGATTTGGAAACTCTCATAACTGTAAATAAAGCCTCCAAAGTTCTTTCCATGTTCATCAATTCAGTGTTCTTGAACTGTTTCATTTTTGTTGTGCTTGTAACGTAACCTTAACATTAGAATCAAAGAACACATATCAAAAGAAACCTGGGACACTTTTGCCGAAACCGGTAGTTGAGAACAAATAAATTTCATTCTTCGGAATTAAGTTTTAAAAATTCGTATAAAATCCAGTTCTTGGAATATGAGTATGAAAATTTCCTAAAGTGTTAATTAAAGTGTATTCTTTCCAATAAACCAACCCGTTTTGAAAAATAGCTTTTGGTTTTTGAGAAAACAATATTTGAAGTTTTGATAAAATTTACGATCTTGCAATTTACATCGATAATTTTTAAAATTCGCTATAAAATTAATTTCTTGAAGGATCCTTGTGGAAATATCACCAATTATTAAATAAAGTATCCTCTGTTTATTGCAGTAAACCGTTTTGAAAAATCGCTTTTAGTTTTTGAGAAATTAACTTTTGAAGTGATCGGCAATTTTTTCGAATTTTGAAATTTTCGCCGATTAAGTTTTAAAAATTCGTATAAAATCCAGTTCTTGGAATATGAGTATGAAAATTTCCTAAAGTGTTAATTAAAGTGTATTCTTTCCAATGAACCAACCCGTTTTGAAAAATAACTTTTAGTTTTTGAGAAAACAATATTTGAAGTTTTCTNAAACGTTTTTATTAGGATGTCTGCGATTTGGAAACCGTTGACGATATTCATCTGCAGCAGCTGTAGCACTCCCGTTACAAAAACCATATACAAATAACATGTCTGTATATTCTAAATGTGAATAAGTACTTGGCATTTTATAGCACTTAATGCAAATCAAACTGTCAAATCTACGTTAAATGTTTAATTGTAGTTATGCAATCAATTGAAAACAAATGAAAATTGGATAACGACATATGAGTTTTTTTACATTATTTTCAAGCGTACAATACACTCCTAAAGTTTGGTCCGTTCCTCCCGACTCACCCTGTATATAAAATCATTTATTGCAGTTTCGTCTAGTTTTCTTCTCTTCGCTTGTAATTCATCATCACATTCAGTTACTACGCAAAGATCAATTACCGTTTCGTACCGAATTCCTGAAAATGAAATTCGCCAATAATCAAGAACAGTCTGTTCAAGCAATGATTTTCAATACCTCGATAGTTATAGAAGGTCATTCGTTTTCATTGGAATTGCTCGCTATTCCTGAACGCAATAACAGTAACATGTTACTTGGTGCTGATTTTATTGAGACTTGTTCTTGCCAAGTTCAGAACCAACTCTGTATGCAGAGCATTGCATAAGCCTTGCCAACGATATTCCCATAGCCGTACCTCTTACCGATTGGCAGAACCAAAGAGAAAATTCTTAGAAATGGCAATCCAGCAGATGATTGAGGATGACATCATTGAAGAGTCGCATTCCGCTTATGCTTTACCAGTTGTCTTGGTGCCAAAGGCAAACAAATTTGATCAATATCGTGTATGTGTCGACTACCGGAAGCTGAATGCTATTACCATACCAGATCGGTATCCCCTCCCACGATTGGACGACCTTTTACATGAAGCAAAACAAACTGCCTTTATGAGTACGCTGGATCTACGATCCGGATATTGGCAAGTAGCTGTTCGACCTGAAGATCGTGACAAAACTGGTTTTGTTACTCCAATTAGAAATTATCGTTTTAAACGCATGCCTTTTCATGATCCTTTTTATGATGGACCGTTTCAAGACAACATTACCGGATGTTACAATCCTTATCTACATTGATGATATTGTGATTCTATCGCCCACCTTTGAAAAATATCTAAACGATTTGAGAAGGGTATTTGAAAAGCTGAAGATGTTCAAGTTACGCGTAAATGGAGGAAAATGTACTTTCATAGCTCCAGAGATAAAATACTTAGGACACATTATTACGCCTGAAGGTATAAAATGCTGAGTTTTTGTCAACTGCACCCATTCTACAACAAAGTGACCCTTCCCAACCATCCATCTTACGTAGCGATGCGAGTGCTTATGCAATTGGATCAGCTTTACTCCAGGGGGAGCCTCCAAACAATCTCCCAATAGAGTACGCAAGCCGACTTTTGACAGACGCTGAAAGGAATTACAGTACTACAGAGAGAGAAGCATTGGCTGTAGTATGGGCTACCGAAAAGTTTCGTGGTTATATAGAATCATCTCAAATCTATGTTATCAGCGACCACCAACCACTTAAATGGTTGATGTCAATTAAATCGCTGAGTGGCCGTCACGTCAGATGGGTACTTAAACTGCAAAGTTATAATATACAGATAGATTATACTCCTGGAAAATCAAATGGATTAGTTATATATGCCTTACTCTCATGAACCAAATGTTGAAGCTTACTTGATGACCATCATTGATTTGTCTACAACTAATTACAATGAACTTCGACACAAGCAATTAGAAGATCCGATCCTTACAACCATCATCCATAACTTAGAAAATACAGATGATCCTGTTGCTACTAAACAAGCTACCGAAAGAGGATTCTTGCTGTTGAATGGAGTGTTGTACCGTTATCCACTGAACTCAGATGAAGAAGGCGCTGTACAAGTAGTACCAACTGCAGATGTTAAGAAAATCTTGTTCGAATATCATGACGTGCCCGAAGCTGGACATTAGGGTTTCGAAAAGACTTATCAAAAGATAAAAAAATGCTATTACTGGACGAACATGAGACGTGACATTGAAACTCATGTCAAGACCTGTATTGAGTGTCAGAGATTTCAACCGAGAAATCAAAAGAATGCTGGTTTATTAGAAAATCGCCGATTTGAAGTAATCGCCATTGACCTCTTTGGACCACTACCGAAGACAGAAAACGGTGAACAGTGGATTTTCGCCATAGAAGATACATATTCTCGATGGGTTGAATTCTTTGTTCTAGAACAAGCCACCGTCGAAGCTTGTGCTCGATGCCTTATCAATGAAATAATCTTACGATCGTTATAAGCGTTATAAATTTACGATGTTGCAATTTTCATCGATAATTTTCAAAATTCGCTATAAAATTAATTTCTGGAAGGATCATTGTGGAAATATCACCAATTATTAATTAAAGTATTCTCTTTTTAATGCAATAAGCCGTTTTGAAAAATCGCTTTTAGTTTTTGAGAAATAAATTTTTGAAGTGATCGGCAATTTTTTCGAATTTTGCAATTTTCGCCGATTAAGTTTTAAAAATTCGTATAAAATCCAGTTCTTGGAATATGAGTATGAAAATTTCCTAAAGTGTTAATTAAAGTGTATTCTTTTCAATGAACCAACCCGTTTTGAAAAATAGCTTTTAGTTTTTGAGAAAATAATATTTGAAGTTTTGAAAAAATTTACGATGTTGCAATTTTCATTGATAATTTTCAAAATTCGCTATAAAATTAATTTGTTGAAGGATCATTGTGGAAATATCACCAATTATTAATTAAAGTACCCTCTTTTTAATGCAACAAGCCGTTTTAAAAAATCACTTTTAGTTCATGAGAAAAAAATTTTTAAAATAATCGGCAATTTTTTCGAATTTTGAAATTTTCGCCGATTAAGTTTTAAAAATTCGTATAAAATCCAGTTCTTGGAATATGAGTATGAAAATGTCCTAAAGTGTTAATTAAAGTGTATTCTTTCCAATGAACCAACCCGTTTTGAAAAATAGCTTTTAGTTTTTGAGAAAACAATATTTGAAGTTTTGATAAAATTTACGATGTTGCAATTTTCATTGATAATTTTCAAAATTCGCTATAAAATTAATTTCTTGAAGGATCCTTGTGGAAATATCACCAATTATTAATCAAAAAGCATCAAAAAAGTTCATTTTGTATCTTGGATCCAAATAAGTTGACATATCTTATCAGCTTTCTTATTAATTTCATTTTTATTCAAATATCGCAATAATGTGGCAATATAGGGTATCACTTCAAAAATGCACCAGAAATTATAACCATAATGGCCGGATAGTTATTCCGGATAAACGGATATCCGGCCGAAGGGGATGCCGAATATCCTGTATATTTCGCAAAATCACTATCCGTTCCATCACTACCTAGAGTGTCTCCCAAGATTTTTATTAAAATTAAATTACATCGACATATCAGATCAAATCAAAATAGTGGAAATTCGTAACGTCAATGAGTCGATTTGGAAGCGTTTCATCAAAATTGGAAAAAAAAGTGTCAGGTGTGATCGACGTTGGTTAAATCGACAGGGACAATACATACGAATTTATTAAAATCCCAGCAATTATCGGGGCTCCGGTAGTAATTGGATCCGCATGTAAATTTTGCCGCAAAATAAAAGTTGAAACCCCCATTCGATTTAACAATGTGACACGAGCACAATTTCGAGTTAATTACTCCCCGTAAAATTAATATCGTTGAATATCGCGAATCCGAGATGAGATAATTTTCGTCCTGTCACCGACACATCTCCGCTTTATCCAAGACATATCCGCAAGGAAATCCGAAGGAAAACGTCTCGTCTTGGGAAGTTGTATTGTGAACCGGGTATAAAATAATGTAATTTGTTTTTGAAAGTAATTTAGGAAGCGAAGGAATGCACCTGAGGCGGGATCCTCTCGAGAACTAAATCAATTCTATAGTCCTTTCGCATAGGAAGCGGATTCCTTGAAGTTGTGGTGACCCAGATGGGGGAACTTCCTGGCCATAACTTCACGGAAACACTGAGAGATTACATTTTCCAAATTTGGCTCGAAACTTTGTATACACTATCTACTAACAAAGGGTAACACCAACAATTATCTAATCCTTTCAAAACAATTATATTCTACACTCGTTTTAACATATTACAACAAATTTTAACATGATCCAAATGGTGCTGGACCAAGACGAGTTCTTGCGCTTACAAATCCTCCGCTAACCCCTCTATATTCTGATTCAACAATTATTTCGACTTCTTTACAATAATTGTTATCGGCGGAATAATCGTATATATATTCAAATCCTTGCATGGAACCGTAATGTAAACGTTCGTCGGTGTTGATATCTTTGATTTCGATAAAAAATACAAAAGCGCAAGTGTCGTAATCGATTGGAGTCCACCACTTAATATGTAATGTATTAGTTACTGTTAATCGTAAGTTTCTAATTGGGCCGATGTCGATGTGTGGATCAAATTTATCTAAAAATAAAAAATATCTTGTAATATCTGTTTTGTATTAAATATTAATATGAAGGAGTCACCACTAGAGATGAAATGTGTGAAACTATTTTAATATAAAGAAAGTTAATGGAAAAATAATGTACATTTGTAAGTTTTGCCCCTCTGAATATATAAAAAATGCTATAAGAATGACGGAACATTTATTACGATGTTTAAAATGCCTAGTAGGCGTAAAACAAATGTTTGACAAAGAGCAAAAATGGAGAAGATTTCTTCTATTTTATTTTCAACTACTACTTCTATTTCTTCAACGATTATAGAAAATATTTGCGACAGGCGATAGAAAACTAGTTGCCCAAGAGATGCTAGATCAACTATTAGCTGGGCTGTTTATGCTACAGATACTCTTTTGCCATTATTGAAAATAATCACTGGCAATCATTTTTCAAACATTTGAGACCACCTTTTAAAATGCCTACACGTTATTTATTATCAAATAAATTACTGGATTCCGAGTATAAAAAAGTTGACGCAGACATTAAAATGAAAATTTGGAGAAGCAACCAAAGCAACGAATGCATTGCTCATACGCAAAATTTGTTAATTAGAGACAGTTCAAAAATGAAAACTATGTCTATTATTATGGAAGATGTTAAGGCTGTAATCAAAGAAATTAACAATTCTTTGAAAAACTATGCCAACATATATTTGATGAAATTTTGGGAGAAGTTGGTACTGAAAAATTCTTTGCTATAGTAACCGATAGTGTCAGTGCAATGGTTAAAGCAAAAAATATACTTTATGAAAATTATTGTTTTGAAAATTATTTGTATTAATTGTCTTTAATAAAACTGCAAACCGTTTAATTAATTCCTCATTCACTCCTGTGATCGCACTGGATTAATTATTATTATTATATTTCTAATCTTCATAAAATAACCTTTAAAATGAGTCCAAACTTGACGCATTTATCTCAAAAAACCAAAAAGTTCGAACTTTCAACTTTTAATTTTGACATATTAGTCAACTTCATAAAAAATCCTTTCAAATGAGTCCAAACTCGACATATTTAACTTTAATATTAACAGAAATACAATCACTTCCGGTTTGAAACGTCAACGTCAATTTTGACATATTTGTCATCTTCATTAAAAAACCTTTAAAATGAGTCCAAAGATGACCCACTTATCTAAAAAAACAGAAAAGTTAGAATAAAAAAACATTAAACCCGAAGNTATCAATTCTTTGTATCAAAAAATTCATTCTTGCATCAATAATTTATAATACTCAAATGAAGAATTATACAAGATTGTTGTTACATGAATAAGTTTTTCTAAAAAGAAAGATACGTTATTCTTGACATAAGAAATCTATTCTCGGTACGAAAATGGGATTGTTGACGCAACACTAAAATACTCTTTTTCAAGATGATTGATTTACTGTCACTAAGAATCCGTTTTCTTGAGAATCAAGAAGAATATTTGTATACTTGCTTTGAGAATATGTGGTTTTTTGCACTCAATAAAATGATCTTCTTGTGGATATACAAGAATATGATAAGCTTGTGCCAAGAGTAATAATAATAATCTTCGTTCAAGAATATATTTCTCTCAGTGTAGGTCTAGTGTTAGTTCTAGTTTTACACTCATCGCATAAGATATCATTACGTTGCATATTTTTATTGCACTAAAACTAGAACTATCACTAGAATTAACACAAGACGTAGAACTAGAATCATTCAGGTTTAGCCGTCTTGAGAGACGTGCGGCTAAACCCGAATGTTTCTATTTCTATGTCTAATGTTAGTTCTAGAATTGCACTAGCACTATCACTAGAACTAATACAAGACCTAGAACTAGAATCATTCGGGTTTAGCCGAACTAATACAAGATCTAGAACTAGAATCATTAGGGTTTAGCCGTCTTGAAAGACGTGCGGCTAAACCCAAATGATTCTAGTTCTCGGGCTAGTGTTAGTTCTAGTATTGCACTATCACTAGAATTAACACAAGACGTAGAACTAGAATCATTCGGGTTTAGCCGTCTTGAGAGACGTGCGGCTAAACCCGAATGTTTCTAGTTCTAGGTCTAGTGTTAGTTCTAGTTTTACACTAGCACTATCACTAGAACTAACACAAGACCTAGAACTAGAATCATTCGGGTTTAGCCGTCTTGAGAGACGTGCGGCTAAACCCGAATGTTTCTAGTTCTAGGTCTAGTGTTAGTTCTAGTTTTACACTAGCACTATCACTAGAACTAACACAAGACCTAGAACTAGAATCATTCGGGTTTAGCCGTCTTGAGAGACGTGCGGCTAAACCCGAATGTTTCTAGTTCTAGGTCTAGTGTTAGTTCTAGTTTTACACTAGCACTATCACTAGAACTAACACAAGACCTAGAACTAGAATCATTCGGGTTTAGCCGTCTTGAGAGACGTGCGGCTAAACCCGAATGTTTCTAGTTCTAGGTCTAGTGTTAGTTCTAGTTTTACACTAGCACTATCACTAGAACTAACACAAGACCTAGAACTAGAATCATTCGGGTTTAGCCGTCTTGAGAGACGTGCGGCTAAACCCGAATGTTTCTAGTTCTAGGTCTAGTGTTAGTTCTAGTTTTACACTAGCACTATCACTAGAACTAACACAAGACCTAGAACTAGAATCATTCGGGTTTAGCCGTCTTAAGAGACGTGCGGCTAAACCCGAATGTTCCTAGTTCTTGTCTAGTGTTAGTTCTAGTTTTACACTAACACTATCACTAGAACTAACACAAGACCTAGAACTAGAATCATTCGGGTTTAGCCGCACGTCTCTAAAGACGGCTAAACCCGAATGATTCTAGTTCTAGGTCTTAGTGTTAGTTCTAGTATTGCACTAGCACTATCACTAGAACTAATACAAGATCTAGAACTAGAATCATTAGGGTTTAGCCGTCTTGAGAGACGTGCGGCTAAACCCAAATGATTCTAGTTCTTGGCCTAGTGTTAGTTCTAGTTTTACACTAGCACTATCACTAGAACTAACACAAAAAAAAACCCGAATGTTTCTAGTTATAGGTCTAATGTTAGTTCTAGTATTGTACTAGCACTGTCACTAAAACTAGCACAAGACCTTTTAAGTCTATTGTTAGTTCTGGTGCTAGGTTGGTTCCAGATTTAGCTGTTATTCAGCGTGAGGTTGTTGTATATTACTAAAAGTAGCACTAACACTAGACAGCTAAACCCGAATACTTCCAGTTCTAAGTCTAATGTTAGTTTTAGGACTAGTTAATTTCTTATTAAAATTAAAAGTTATGATAAAAAAATATTTATACCTGTAAATTGATTACTTTGATGAGTTTCTCCTTGTGATGTTCCATAATATGGTGTTATATCGATGTTTACTAATTTACAAAGAACGTGTTCGTTAAAATAATTATAAGATTCGTACAAATTTTTAGTGGTCGTCTCTTGATACGTTGCAAGATTAACACCATTCCAATACTGGATCTTATAATCCAAATTACATCCTTCATATCCATTTGGGGCAGAATAAGACACGCTCATATCAGTTGAAGTAACTCGAATCATTAAATTCGTAATCGCTCCTAAAGGTGCGCTACATTGTCTCGTTCCATTTTGAGGAGGCTTAGCTAAGCTAATTTGGAAAAGACCAACAACGAAAAGAACACCGAAAAGTTTCATTTTGATGATGCAACTAGTTTGGAATCTAACGCAATTTGTGCCTTTATACACTCACTTAAAAAGCAAAAAAAAGGTAAAATAAACATGTCGATTAAGTGGTTATATTACGTAACTTTTGATACGAAATGATAAGTTGTTGAATTGAGGGGAAAAACTTGGTAACAAACATCGTATCAATAAAAATTGGGGCCACAAATTTGTATTCAGCTCGTTCTCGCATTTGAAATGTAAATTTTTTGGGGGGTTTCCCCCAGAGATTTCAATAATCAAAAGTGGCGAAAGTTAGAGTTTACGTTACGTTATAACTTATTTTATTTTCTAACATTTAATAATAAAGTAAAAACTGTATAAGCAGCTTTTAATATCTAAAAAGAATTAATTAAGACATTATATCATAAAAAATAAAAACTATTTTATTATTACCCCGACAAAAGTGTTGGCCGAAAACGTTTCAACTTTAAGAGCTTTTAAAACGATAGGTTTTTGAGCTCTCATAATTATCATTCTTATATATTTTTGTACAACAACAGGTTTTGTATGCCACTCAATATGATATGCATCAACAGCAACACCCAAACTTTCATCGATTAAAGTTTGTCCATAATGGCACACTAAATAAATTAAAACCAACCATCCAAATAAATGCATACTAAACCTTAACCATTCCCCAAAATTATCAACGGTTATTAAAACAAACCCCAAAATGCTTATAACAAACGATGTTAGTGTCCTATGCGCAATAAGTTGTGTTCCAAACGCATCGTTAACTTCATTTACGTATTCGATTATAGCCGTGTGATATTGAATAATTTTTTCTACCTTAATTTTGATATTAGGTACATTTCCTGGTTGAATCGATAATATATGTCGTCTAAGTTCTCTTAAATGTCCAATAACGTGCGATATAATACTACAAACCAGCGTGGTTATTGTAACAATAACTATCGTAGTAACGCTCGCCAAATATGCAGTGTAAATGGCAACGATTTCAAATATAGGTGATTTATCGAATGGAAACGGGAGCCGATACGGCAAGATCATACCGCAAGGAATGTTATATTTTTGCATTCGTATTGGTTTGTTAGTTTCGCAATATTTCACAAATATAAAAGGCATAAAGGTATAAATTAACGTCCCCAAAATGGAGTAAGCGAAAAAGAATTTCGAATATAAAATAGCATCTCCATCGATTTTTAACATATTTAAATTCGAGTATTTTTTGAATTGGTCTAAATTATCGACCAATCTTTTTATTTTTTCGGCGTTACGTAAGAAACAAACTCCTAATTGAAACATACCGAAAATACAAATGTTTGCCAATAAAACTTGAGCTTCTTCTGCCATTGTCATATCAGAATCTAATAAAATAAAGTTAAATTAAAAAATTAATATGAGTTAATAGACTTGAATGGGTTGAGTTTTTAGAAATACAATTAAAATTAGAAACTTCTATTTAAATCTTTTCAACATACAAATTAAAAGCATAAAATTGATGAGGTTGATGATTTGTGCTTTTCATTGCAGATTTAAAAGTTGTGTCGATATCATTCCTGATTTCACGCGGGCAGAGTTGGAAGAGGATGGCGACGATTACATGATAGAAGATTTAGATGATCTGAAGAAGATCCTGACGAGTTCAGTAAACTTTAAGATAAAGAGCAAAGATTAAGTTAAGTGCAAACGAGTGAATATCATGTAAAAGCCACCAAAGAAAAGATTTGGAGATGTTTTATCAATGAAGGTATAAAATTGCATCATTTTAAGATTCTGCCAAATTATGCAACAGATCGTGACGAGAACCACAACTGTTCTAGGAATGAAACAACTTTCAATTCAATTCCAAGGGATATTTAGTCAGTTCAAAATATATTTTGTCAGCAAAAAAACCGCTGTGATGTATGTCCATAAATGCTGATAACAAAGAAATGATTCCATTTCGGTTGGCGCAAATCCGAAGATCAGGAAAGCCACGCAATAAGGCCCCAGTGTCCTATCTACCTTCCAGAAAAGATGTGGTTTAGATATTTCCTAACAGCAAGCATAAAGTCCATCCTGTATAAATCAGAGATTTAGTCTTTAATTTATGGTAAGTCTTCCAAAAGTCTAGGAAGAGTGTTTTCTAAGACATGAAGACATCATCAGGAAATGAAAATACACTAAAAGTGGCCAGGCAGCAGAAGAAAATTTTGAAGTAAAATGGGAATTTTATAATGCCTTACAATTCATAGCTGGGCATTGGTAAGTTTAATCATACAAGAGGTTATAAAACGTTAAGAGTTAAGTTTAAATATTAGATCAACCAAAAGGGGAAGGAATCAACAAAAACCTCCTTTAATTGGACCAAGCTTTCGATAATACATTTTTAACTTCATCAAGGTACGCTACAACGAAAAAGGGGGGAACATCACACCAAAATTCCAAGAAACAAGTTTGAGACTTACATTTAGAGGTTAAAATGTAAAAATTATAAAATTAATACATTGAAGTTGAATAGGAATAGGTCCCCAAAAGGACATCTATAAAAGGGCAAGATGATATCCAGACCAAAAACACTAAAAATAATACCGCGACAACGTCAATAAAAGGCGCGAACCAATCGAACCAGGACGACAACTGTCTCTATGGAGAACCTAAGGAAGTAAAAATCACCAGGTTGACGGCAGACAGAGAGAGAAGATGGTGTTACAGTTGGAAAACATTAAAAACACAAGAATAAGGGAAACTAACAAAGCTAATATTATTAGAATCCATATTGCGAGATTTAAATTAATAAAAATAAGATATAATAAAACAATAATGTGTTTTAAACTTCAGTTTTTCGCGTTTATTTTAAATTTCTTCGGTACCGGTTTCGACCTATATTAGGTCATCATCAGCCGAATCTATCTTGCTTTTGTACTTCAATTGTTTTGTAGATTCGGCTGATGATGACCTAATATAGGTCGAAACCGGTACCGAAGAAATTTAAAATAAACGCGAGAAACTGAAGTTTAAAACACATTATTGTTTTATTATATCTTATTTTTATTAACAAAGCTAAGGACCAGAAACTTACAAAACAGACCTTAACAAATTTAACCCTAACAACAATAAAAAACTCACTAATTAAAGCTAGAAAGCTACTAGATATCACTAAAAGAGCTTAATACCTAACCTATGCATAAAAATATGTGATCTCTACAGATGTCTAGACGATCCATGGTGGGACTTGTGTAGATGTATGGTGTTGTCCCTTATGTGCTTCGGTACAATGAGAGTTCTTCGGCATTTGAGGAAGAAGTGTTTTATTTCCTGTTGTTGAATTATCAAAAGCTTGGTCCAATTAAAGGAGGTTTTTGTTGATTCCTTCCCCTTTTGGTTGATCTCCCAATATTTAAACTTAACTTTTAATCATACACTTTTTATATATATTTGTATTGTCATGGAACTTCTCCTTCCTGGCGGAAATATTGTGTAAATTCCAGTGGTACATCTTTAGCTTCCAAATTTCCGCGAAGGTTAGGATTAACTTGTAGATTCAGTAGGTTTTGTCGCCACTCTTCTGGTTGTATTGTGCCATAAGAAGCGTAAAATCGTTTAGACCGTATCATTAAAAAATTATGTAACACACATATGGCAGATACAATAAGGATTACTTTTTCAGGTTCTAATTCAATTGATCTGTGGAAACAGCATATTCAGAGATATCATGAGAGAAAAATATCTATGTGTTCTGTGGAAACACATCTGAGATAAATTTCTAATGTAACAAAAATCTCATGAGATTAATCTCCTTGTAGACACCTAGCTTGAAAGAGGACTTTTTTTTCTAAATTTGCTGTATTAGCTACATAAGAAAATGACCTCAAAGTTTCATTATTTGCCATTCATTTGAGATAGAAAAATGGCAGTAGCTATGCGTAACCATGGCAACCAATTGTTTCAAATATTTTATTAAAGACAATGATTAATTTTTGATGTCTGAAACAATTGGTTGTTATGGTTACGCCGGTCGAGATAGAAAAATGGCAGTAGCTATGCGTAACCATGGCAACCAATTGTTTCAGATATTTTATTAAAGACAATGATTAATTTGTGATGTCTGAAACAATTGGTTGTTATGGTTACGTCAGTTGAGATAGAAAAATGGCAGTAGCTATGCGTAACCATGGCAACCAATTGTTTCAAATATTTTATTAAAGACAATGATTAATTTGTGATGTCTGAAACAATTGGTTGTTATGGTTACGTCGGTTGAGATAGAAAAATGGCAGTAGCTATGCGTAACCATGGCAACCAATTGTTTCAAATATTTTATTAAAGACAATGATTAATTTTTGATATCTGAAACAGTTGGTTGTCATGGTTACGCACTGCTATATTTTTTATTTCAAATGAATGGCATATAATAAAACTTTAAGGTAATTTTCTTATATAGCTAATATTAATCATTGTCTGTAATAGAATGTTTGCAACCATTGGTTGTCATGGTTACGCATGGCTACTGTTATTTTTTTTATCTCAAAAGACGTTATATAGCAAATGGTAATTATTTTAGACTCATGTTCATTAAAACTTATCAACTTGAACGTTTAGCGTTATTTTGTAACATCCTGCAGATGGTTCGTTGTAACATCCTAAATAAATGGTCGTTGGTGCAATGCAGTGATTGACAGGCTAAAGCGTTCCTCAAACGAGTTTGTTTTTGCCTTCGTTCTAAAGAACTCATTTTAATAACTTAGAAGTTACCAATTTTAATTATACAGGGTGAGTTATTAGTATCCTGGCGGGCGATAGATACTAAATCATTTGAAAAACAACTTTCATACAAAAGTTGTTTGAGTCATCAGTTTCTATTACGTAAAATTATTTTCACTTATACAGGGGTGTTCCATTTCAGCGTAACAGAGAGTTCGTAAATTTATTTAAATGGAACACCCTATATATTTCATCATTCATTGAAATCATACATCATCATTGAAACTATGTCAGACAATAGTCAAAGCCAGTAGGTAGATGATAGTATTCAAAGATATTAGATACACTATACAGGATATTTATAAAGCTTTGCTACTTTTGATGTTTTTCAAATGGCTTTTTCTTAAGTTTTTTAAATGGAACACTCTGTATATTGTGTGCTAGTTGAATTGCTCATCAAGTTCCTTTTATTTAATGATAAGTATGTCTTATGTTTAGCTTTAATAGTTTTCCTGATATATAGAATGTAAAGAAAAATATGTAATAAAATGTCATTATTAGGAAATATTGACGCTACGAGTTAGTAACATATACGGTTGTATAAACAAATGTAATTCTATTCATAATATGATAAAATATAAAGGTGTTCCATTTAAAAAAAATCTACACACTCTCTGTTACGCCTAAATGGAACACCCTGTATAAGTGAAAATAATTTTACGTAATAGAAAGTGATGAGTCAAACAACTTTTGTATAAAATATTTTTTTCTTTCTGAAACTACTAATAACTCACCCTGTACATCTAAAAAAAAACTTAAATTAAAATAAACATACCACTTAAACCATCAATCGATTCAGCAAAAACTGGTAAAAAAACAGGAATTAATGTAATAAATATATAATAGCTATGCCATTGTTTCCATTTTAATACATGATCATTATCAACGTTTTCATTCGGCCACATATTCATCAATTTAAAAAGTTTTATATTAAACGAAAGATACTGGTGTTTTCTGATCATACTGAAAAAAAATACACTGAATCTGAAAAATTCCCAAGCGTACAATCCGTCATTGGGGTGGTTAAAACAAACCCTGTAATTCAACGGTTGGGTGTGTTAAAACTTTTAACCGTGGAAAAAACGTACATCAATCAGTGTCACTACAAAAAGAAAATTACTACGTTTCAAAAAAAAAAAGGAAAAAATAATAAAACAAGTCACAAAGATAATAGGAAAAGGGATTCACACCATTTATAAAGAATTTATATAAAACGTGATTCAAAAATCTCGAGTAATTACTATATTTTGCACTTTTATTTATATTTTTAAACTAAACCAAAACTTATTTTTCACAATTATTACAAAATTAAAATAATTCTTTTTTCTTTTACATACATTCCGGGTGTAATGGTTGAATATATATACCAGCAACACATCCAGTTGCACTTTTACCCAATTTAACACAACGTCCAGCAACTCGTTTTAAAACTTGGTACTCAACATGGCAAGTAGTTTTAGCCAAATTATCTGATTGTGAGAGATTTTCCAAGTTTCCCGAAGATTCTTCCCCAACACCTTCAACTACCAATTCTTTAGATAAAGCCGCTACCATAACTATAACGTTGGCAAGGAGAAATAAAAAAATCTGTCTACGTTTTAATGCCATTTGACGATGCGGAACTTCTTTGATACAACTTTCCAAATCCGGACGTTAATATATCTAACCAGGAAGACTTAGTAGCGGAGTTTTAATCAAGTGAACCCGTCTAAGTTTGATACGATATAATCAAGAAACTTGGAAACTTTCGATTAGTTAAATTTAAAACTTATTATAAAAGATTTTTTTGTGTAATAATGTAATGTAGTTGTTTTTAGTAAAAGAAAAACGGAACACGCGTTTTCAAGCTTGGAAAACTATCGGGGGAACTTGACACAATCATTAATTACAAGGAAAACTACAGCTCGGGAACGTGTCAGTGCTTTTCCACACTGTATAATTAATAAATATTATAAAAGCTTGACGTTCTCCCGGAAATTAATTACCGGAGCTTTGTTTTAAAACGGCGTTGTACCATCATCTTAAATTTTAACTTGATTCTAAGTAATAAAAATTTCCTTCTTTTCAACTCAACCTCGTAATTATTAAATTTTCGCACTTCCAACCGGAGGCGATTGTGGGCATCGATAAAAAGACCATCGTGAAAATTGAACGAATGCCGGAAACGAAGTGGAAATTAAAAAAGTCGCCGCAATCAGGAGCACACGTCCCGGAACATAAAAACCGCTTCGAGTTCGTTTTATTTCCGTCGATAACATCCGTCCGGTTGGTTATTTTCAGTTGCATTTCGAACCTTTATGAAATGGTTCGGTACCCAAGATGATTAGAGGAGAATTGCGATTATACTCGATTTTCGAACGTAAATTTTGCCATTGGCAATCACTACTCTTGTGTCCCTTAATCCGGTCGTTTGCCGTAATTTATCCTCCGGCACGAAATTATGGAGATTATCTCGATCGGATGTTATACGAGATCGAATTTAATTCCGTTTGGGTTTATCAGGAATGAAAATGGAATAACGAAAGGATCAATTGTTTGCAAAATTTGAATGAAAAAATAATCAATAATGTAAATAATGTAGCTTAATAATCTGGAGTGTAGGCTATTTTTAATTTTGTTATTATCGATAATAACTTATTAACGGTATATGCAGGATTCACATAAAATTACGTTCATCCGTGATTTTATTGACTTTATGGGATTTTATGAGATTATAACGGTTGTAAAATAAAAGCTGGTAATAAACCTATTTATTTAGATAACTTGTTTACTCCGGTTTATATTAAATTGTTGTGGCAACTTTTATATAAAAAGAACTCGATAAAGTGAATCTCAAATTCTTGTTTAATGAAAAACCTGTTTAAAAGATATAAGTACGAAGGCTTTCACTGCCAGTGTTAATTAAACTAAAATTAGCACTATCACTAGAACTAACACTAACACTGCAGACCTACAACTAGAAACTTTCGGGTTAAGCCGTGAGTTTTTTGAAAAAATGTTTGATGTTTCGGATGCCATGTTGCAACGTTCTTCAGAAACAAGTTCGAAGTGACGAATTCGGTTAAAATTTGACAATAACCATCTTCTCTATTTATGTTATTCCCATGTCGATGAATCTCTATCGCCTCTCTCGTCAATCTTTGGAAGTAATGTCCGTTTCTTCGTACAACTCTATGCTGTGTACTCCTTTGTGGCAATGCTCTGCGACTGCAGATTGTTGGATCTTCCTTAGTCGGGCATCCCTCTCGTGATCCTTGATGCGGCACTCGATGTTACGTCCAGTTTGGCCAACTTAGTATTTCCCGCAACTGCACGATAGCCTCCGTTTAATGGGGTTAGTTTGTCTTTGGCTATCGGAAGAGCGTTTTGTATTTTGTTGACCGTACCGTATCGTACCACGATATCATTCTTCTTCAGACGCCACGCAATTCGCTCCGTCACACTTGAAACATAAGATTTGGTGGCTCGTTGGATATCTCTCATCGTATAGCCGTTCTTCTGCTAACATCTTCTAGGAATCTTTCTTCTTTTCTTAGGTTCTCTTTATCACATATCCTCTCTGCTCGCTAAATAAGGCTTGAATCACGGACCTCTTCTGTTATGGGTGGTGGTGTGATGAAGCCTGCAGGTATCTATTCGTATGCGTCTTCTTTCGATATACTCCCAGTTCCATGCCCCCATCTGTCTTCCTAGTGACTAACACATCCAGGAATGGCAACTGTTTCGCAGTTTCTGTTTCAATAATAAATGACAATTAATTGCGAGTCCAGTTACATCGGTAGATTCGTCCATTTGTAATGCAAATTTGCATGATTTCAGGCGAAACGTAAGTTCATTCTTTATATTGGTTGCTCAATTTCTAATGCGTTGAGCTACCGTGTCATTTGATAGTGGGATCTTACCTATTTCTTCTGCTGACTTTTCATCTAACATACATTTTACTATCTCCATAGCGCAAGGTTTTATGACATTTTCCGCAATTGAGTAGGCTTCGCCGCATTGAGCTATTTGATGATTGACCAAGTAAGAAGCCTCAGTCGCTTGAAAAATTCAACATTTTTTTCCAACAATTCAACCAACATTAGACCTAGAACTAGAAAGTTTCTAGAATTTTTCTAGGTCTAGTGTTAGTTCTAGTTTTAGTGCAATAAAAATATACTACTACAAAATAGTGATATCTAGCAACATCATATTTAGACTCATTTAAAGATACTTTTTAATAAAGAATACATAATAAAAGAACACCATGAAGTTGCCCATTTGTCTATTATATGATAACTAACTTCATATTTAAAATGTCAACCTCAATTTTGACATATTTGTAATCTTCATTACAAATCCTTTAAAATGAGTACAAACACGACATATTTATCTTCAATATTAATGAAGTTTAGTTAGGTTAGTCAACTTCCGGTTAAGAATGTCAACGTCAATTTTGACATATTTGTAATCGTCATGAAAAATCCTTTAAAATGAGTCCAAACATGATACTTTTAATTCCAATATTACTCGAGATATAAGCAACTTCCGGTTTGAAATGTCAATGTCATTTAGACAAATTCTTAATTTTTATAAAATGTCTTAAAATTTATCACAAAAACAAAAATACAATAAAAAGAATTCAAAATTAAGGTTGGTATCAATATTTAATAATTAAATTGCTATCTTCATTGTTGCTAACTTCGGGTTTAACGTTTTTTTATGCAAACATTTTTGTTTTTTGAGATAAGTGCGTCATGTTTGGACTCATTTTAAAGGTTTTTTTAATAAAGAATACATCAGAAAGAACACCATGAAGTTGTCCATTTGTCTATTATATGATAACTAACTTCAGATTTAAAATGTCAACCTCAATTTTGACATATATGTAATCTTTATTAAAAATCCTTTAAAATGAGTACAAACACGACATATTTATCTTCAATATTAATGAAGTTATGGTCAACTTCCGGTTAAGAATGTCAACGTCAATTTTGACATATTTGTAATCGTCGTGAAAAATCCTTTAAAATGAGTCCAAACATGATAATTTTAATTCCAATATTACTCGAGATATAAGCAACTTCCGGTTTGATATGTCAATGTCATTTAGACAAATTCTTAATTTTTATAAAATGTCTTAAAATTTATCACAAAAACAAAAATACAATAAAAAAAATTAAAAATTAAGGTTGGTATTAATATTTAATAAATAAATTGCTATCTTCATTGTTGCTAACTTCGGGTTTAACGTTTTTTATTCTAACTTTTTGATTTTTTGAGATAAGTGCGTCATGTTTGGACTCATTTTAAAGATTTTTTAATGGAGATGACAAATATGTCAAAATTGATGTTGACGTTTCAAACCGGAAGTGATTGTATTTCCATTAATATTAAAGTTAAATATGTCGTGTTTGGACTCATTTGATAGGATTTTTTATAAAGTTGACAAATATGTCAAAATTAAAAGTAAAAATTTTGAACTTTTTGGTTTTTTGAGATAAATGCATCAAGTTTGGACTCACTTTACAGGTTATTTTATGAAGATTACGAATATAATAATAAAATTAAAGTTGACATTGACAACTGAAAGTTTTTTTCACGACTAAACCCGACTGTTTCTAAGTTCTTCTCTAAGACGTCCGGCTAAACCTAAAACTTTCTAGTTCTAGGTATAGTTTTAATTATTATTTAACCCTAAATTCTTGTACATTCTAATTGATCTAAAAAAATTTTTTTTTGATTTAATCCACTTACCTTGCTTATAATTTCATCCATTTACCCATTTTGAATTAAATACAACCTTTAAATCCAATTAATTATGTTTTTCATTAAAAAAAACTTAAATTCAACGTCAATTTTGACAAGCAACTGCAATATTTGGATTTTAATCACCATGGTAACCGAGTCAAGTTGGATAACCTTA